GAATTCACTTTTTAGAATTTTTTTTTTTTTTTTGTATTTTCACTGATTTTTTTTTAATATTTTAAGTAATTTTTAAAATTGTTAGACACACCTAACATAAATACATTTAAAAAGTATAATATTTGTGAATTTTTTTTAAAAAAAAAATCACTAAACGCCAAAAATATAAATAAAAAAAATACGAAAGTTCAATACAATTTTCGTATTTTTATATATTTATTAATTTTTTAAAATATTTTTTCACAAATATTTCATTATTTAGGTATATCTAAGTAGGGTGCATCTAAAAAAGTAACAAAAATTGCTTAAATTTTTTAAAATATTCACCAAAAACAAAAAAAACATGAAAAAAAAAAAAAAACTCAATTTCCAAAAAAATAAATTCTAAAAAATGAAACCAAACAAGCTAATTGGACCATTTAAAAATTATAAGCGGCATGTCTTAACTAAATGAAGCCTTAAAGTTCCATTAAATATGGTCGGCTATATAAATCTTTCTTCTTCTATCCAAGGCCATTTCGTTAGTCAAATTAAGGAGGTTCATATCTCTATTTATTATACCAACCCACGTCAATCTAGGTCTACCCATTTCCTTAACATTTCCGTCTACCGACATTGTATCATGTCTATTCACTACTGTCTCTATTGGTCTCCATTGCACATGAACAAATCATCTCAATCTATTTTCTCTTAACTTATCTTCTATCGGTACTACCCCCCATTCTCGAATATACTCATTACTAATTCTATCTTTTCTAGTCTTGTCACACATCCACTTTAGCATTCTCATCTCAGCAATACTTATCTTATCTACATATTGTTTCTTAGTTGCCTAATATTCTGATCTATACAACATCACTGGTCTAATAGTCGTGCTATAGAAACTCTCTTTTAGTCTAGTGGATACTCATTTATCGCATTGTACTCTAGACACACTTCGCCACTTAAGTTACCCCGCTTTAATTCTATGGACCGATAATATTTACCCACTTCTCTGAAGCCCATCTAATTATTTGAATTTTACTCAACGTGTCTCAGCCTATAAGATTTTCAAGTGGTAATTAAAAAAATTATAGGAACCTACACGAGATTAATCTATTTTGTCTAACAAAATTTCACTACTTTAGGCCCTCCCAAAAAAATTTGTTTAATATAATTTCACACCAATCAAGTTAACTATTTTCATTGTTTATGCAATGTTTTCTAACATGTGGTTTATAGTTTTATAACATGAAGGCTGGATTGAAATTTTTGAACCACAAATTATGCATTAAATTTTTGGGGCAATCCTTGCACAATGTGGGATTCTCGAAATTTTGAGTGAGCAAGTTTGGGGGGCCATAATATGGAGTTCAAAAAATGTTGAATGGTAGCCCTTATATAAAATGTGGGTTGGCCAGGACCGCCCCGACATTCATTCCCTCCACCCCTGATGGCACTGCTACATTATGTTTAGTAATTTATATAGTGAGTCAGGGAATATCACAGTATGGTTGATAAGGCCATCTCTACCTGATGCTTGATTTGATTGTGCAAAAGTTGAAGTAGGTTAATTATGGGAAATGCTTACTTAGAATTTGCAGTAAAGAATTGAAAACAATTTACTTATAAGAAAAAAGAATTGAAAGCAACCTGTATTGTGTAAGTGTAACAACCCCAGCCTTTGATTAACGTTAATCCGTACTTAATTATGTCTGATGGTAATTTAGGAAGGATTTGGGATTAATTTGCCTGTGTATTGCATTATTTTTGTATTTCTATCTGTTTGCCATAAAATGATCTATTCACATTTTAGTTTCGGTTTGCGAATTGGAAGCCTTATCGGCGTTCGAATCAAAAATTGACTTGATTTATGTGCTAGTTAGGATTTATAGAATTTTATGGTAGGTTTAATTAAAATTCGGTTCGGAGTGATTAAATTAGATTATATAATGCTAAATTACATTAGTTCAAGTTAATTACCTAATTGCCACTTAGTGGGCCACTTTTAAGAGCCTTGTTTGGAACTTATTGTGCATCATTCTATCATCCATTTCTTGACCAACCCGTGGGAGAGAGCTAGAGATAGGAGAAGTTTTGGTTTGAACAAAATTCCTTGGAGAATTGGAAGAATTGAAGAGTAGTTTGCATATTTGAGCTTCTAGGCTTAGAATTCAAGGTTTAAGGTAGGAGATTCCCCTTTCAATTTTGAATTTAAGATTAATTCTTGCATGGTTCATGAGACATTAGTGATCTAAGTCATGAATTCGTTGAAAATGTTGAATTGAGGCTTAAATCATGCATGCATGTCTACATTCTTGAATTGTGAAGTTGTTCTCATAGAATCCTCACATGCATGTCCATATTTTTGTTATAGTCCATGAATTCATCCTATTCTTGAGCTTAATCTTGCTTTGGATCATGTTTTGGAACATAAGAAGTCATGAGAATTCATGCATGTTACATTTAAGTTTTGTTCTTGAAGTTTTATTTGAAATTGTGTTTAATTGACTCAACCTTGGGCTTTGATTTTAAAAATTGATCTTTGAAACATCTTATACTATGAGTTTATAAGTGTTTTCTAGAAAATGGGCCCAAGAGGTCGAGTTTGGAGGTGTTTAATGCTTGGTTTGAGCTTGGGAGGCAAATCTGGAAATTCCAGAATTTGACTTCCTCGCTCGAGCGACCATCGTTTGTTCAGAGCTTCGCTCGAGCGAATGAATGGTGGCTCGAGCGTAAATTGCAAGCTCTTAGGTTTTTGGTGCACGCAGACGCACGCTCGAGCGACGAGACATACGCTCGAGCGAAGAGCTGTGTCTCATGTTTGAGCGAGCATCGAGTAGGTATCGAGTGTAAAATTTCAACAACCAGTACTTTTACATTTTTACAGACTGCTCGAGCAAAGGAGTCTACGCTCGAGCGACCCCTCTGTTTTGACAAGCTCGCTCAAGCGAAGGAAGCCACGCTCGAGCGAGACCCCTGTTTTCAGCAAGTTTTGAAAAATGTTTTCCAAGGCATCTTTGCATCCTCATTCCATCCTAGGCATTCCTAGGCCATGTTTAAGACTCTATAGTGAGGATTTAAGGTTAGAAACACACTAAGAACCATCGGCGTAAGTTTTGTGCAATTAGAATGTGTGTTTCAAGTGTGTGTCCGTTATGTGTTATGTAGGTCACGTACTGCGTACTGTGTGATCAATCTACTTCGTCTGTCTGTTCCAAGGCCAACTGTGAGTAATAATTTAGTAAAGTTATGTTCAAACTGTATCTACTTTCTGTGTGATAAAACAAGATCTATTTTTCGAAATGATATGTTCTGTACAATGAATGATTGTTCAATTTCTGACATGTATTCGTGGCATCCTTAGCATCATGTGATATCTGTTAGCTGTTACCTAGTATCGAAGGTTCCTTTATAGAACTTATTTCTATCTGCACTCTGTTACCCGTACCGGAGGCCCTGTCACGGGGGCTCAGCTTCTGTTCTGTTCTGTTGCCCAGATCTAGAGGTTCCTTTATGGAACTGGTTATTCGTAACCTCACGTGTATACGTTCTGTTCTGTTCTGTTTATGCTAATGGATGTATCACGTAAATTTAATCACGACTTATGATTTCTGTCTGTATATGATCTGGACAAATGATGAATTTGATACAAATCTAATTATGATTTCTGAATCTGTACGAACTCATTCATTGAAACCCTTTACTCTATTATTATTCACTGGGCTTTCGCTCACAGTTTATATTAATGTAGGTGAGCCGGCACATGACCAGGGCCAGAGTTGACGGCCTTCTGTTCTGTTTTTGTCAGCCAACTGTTGTGCCTCCCGAGGAGGTTTCGAACAAAGCCTAAAGCCTTGTTTATTTTTGTATTCATGCTAGTCTTGTGTATGTTCTGTAAGGTCAGGTCTTGGGAAATACAATTTGTGAATACTTTGTAAATATTGTGTATCTGGACTGGCATGTTTATGTATATATAAATAAGTTTTGAAATCTTCTGTCCCATATACGTTATCACAGCTCATTGGACCTTGTCTATTTTGTATTATTGCTTCCGCAGCCCCTTATTATTTGCTAATCTGTTCAGAGGCCTTTGGTAATTCACGGATTACTGGCCGGTTACGGTGCTAAACCTACAGGGGCGGGTTTGGGTCGTGACAGTAAGTATTTGATGTCATGGAGGAAGATGATAAGAGGACAGAGTGTTTGATCTTGAATTCTCATGTATGTTCATTCTAGTGCATTTTTTTTATTTACAGTGGTTGATGAATGCAAGTTCTGTTTGTTTTGTTTTCTTTTCATCCTTGGGAATTGATTAACCTTCTTCCCTAATTCTTATGCGAACTATATTCTGTTTTAGGTTCTTGGTGTTTAGCGAAATGCCGAAAACTTTCCACAAGTACAGTTTTTCATTAGACATTGTTGGGGATCTGGGATCCTGCCCAAGACCTTCTAGAAATCATATCAAGCAGAAAAACACACACACATAAAAGAGACACAATATTTACGTGGTTCGGCCTAATGCCTACGTCCACGGAAGAGAAACCATTTATACTATATCAATAGAGATGAAATACAAAGAGATTTATATAACGGAGGAGACTCTCACTCAACTCCCACACAGCTCACCCTCTCTCACCGAGGGAGCTCTCTCTCTACCACAAAGGGACTCCCTGTTTTCTCTCTAAATTTTTCTACTGATTTTTGTAACAAACTCCAGTTCCTCGGCGGCAAATGCCCCAATGCTGCTTCCCACATTCCCTACAAATAGGTTTACCTACACTCTCACTATTTCCCCTTGTTGTATTATCATTAAAGCTTGAGTTCAAATTTTCATTCACGGAGGCCACTGATTCACTAACCGCTTCCATCTTCTGTTTCTTGAATTTCTTACTTTCTGGTTCAGGTGTAGTTATAGACTTGGACATTTTCAAGATAGCAACATTTGTTTCAGCCATCAAGGCTCTGTCAAGTACATCAACATATTTTTCTAATTTCAATACATTTACCCGGTCAAGGACTTAAACATGTAGGCCGCCCTCAAATTTCCTTGCTTTCTTGTATTCTGTATCAACCATATGAGGAGCATAACGAGCTAATTCGGTAAACTTACTTTCATACTCCGCTACTGACATTATACCTTGCTTCAGCTGCTCAAATTCGGATACTTTTCTATCTCGCATGCATTGTGGAAAATACTTTTCATAAAACATTCCTTTGAATCGATCCCATGTCAAGTCCCTGTTCATATCTCGAATGAGCATCCACCATCTTCTCGCTTCTTCCTTCAAAGTGAATGTGGCTAATAGAACTTTATATGTATCATTACATGGAAACACTTCAAAAATTTTCTCAGTCTCAAGTACCCATACCTCTGCTTGTAATGGCTCAATACCTCCTGTAAATTCTGGCGGTTTCAATTTCTTGTATTTCTGTGTCATTGTAATGATGTCATCATAATTGATCGGTTCCACTTGAACAGGTGGTGGAGGATATAACGGAGGAGACTCTCACTCAACTCCCACACAGCTCACCCTCTCTCACCGAGGGAGCTCTCTCTCTACCACAAAGGGACTCCCTGTTTTCTCTCTAAATTTTTCTACTGATTTTCTCACTCACTGAGCTCACCCGTCAACTTCTCTATTTATACACCAACGAATAAAGAAGGCTGGCTAACACTATCCCGCATAGGGGTGTGGGCGGTGCTATTCGGGGTGTTTGAGAGTAAAATTACAAATCGAATGGCGGGTTAGCGGATTGACAAATTGTTGTTTGGGCGGTTTTTGGCGGATTGAAGAACATTCTAACTAATTATCATACATTTGCATAATATATAACACTAATTTATATAATTTTTTTAGAAATATAACACAAAATAATTTTACATAATATGTTTCATATATATAACCACTAATTTGTAATAAATTTCATATCTTAAATCTCTCTCACACTCATTTTTACATTGATATTTCATTGGAAGTTAAAAAATATATGTGTATTAACTATAGCAAAACAGAGTGGAGCAGTTCGGTTGGCGAATTATAAATTTTGAAGTTTAAACCACGGTTAGCGGTTAGAGCGGTATTTTGCACAACCCTTCCTGCAAATCACTCCAAATTTGCAGTACCAAATCTGGCTCCTCTGACAACGGTTAGTGATTAGAGCGGTATTTTGTACAGCCCTTCCTGCAAATCACTCCAGATTTGCAGTATCAAATCCGACTCCACTGACAACTTCCCACATGCGCCATATTCCGCCGAATTCGATGCCGCCATTCTTGATTTCTTCTTCCTTCGCATACACCACTTCTCACATGGAGCTGAACAAATCACCTCTCACATGGGGTGATATCTAACAGACATTCCTCTCATTCTCAGCCTCTTATCATATTGTGATTTATTGGTATTTCTGACCATGTTTTTAACTTCATCCTTGACATACATTGACATTTTTTAGCCGTAAAATCATTAATTTTTTAGCTTCAGTGCCCACACTCTTACTTATACGATATCTTACAAACTCATTCTTTCTTCCATTTTCTTTTGTAGGATCTCTCTCTAGATGTGGAGAAAAAATCATGGTTGTTGCATTGTTTCTTTTCTCCCATAGCCTATGGTTTTTTCAAATATATTTTTTTATGTGTTGTTAAAATGTTTGTGATCTGATATTTGATTATCACCCCCAAGAAATTAAGTCAAAATAGAGAATAGATGATTAGGACTGTGGTCCATACTTTTCTGCCTTGAGAGTATTTTCTATTTGTTACATTTCTTGCTTTAAGTGCTAATTATTTGTTTGTTTTCAGCATATGACATTTTATTAGATGAAAAGAAGAGAAAAAATTATGATCTATATGGTGATGAGAAGGGCAATCCTGGATTTGATGCTGGAAATGCTGGGGACCAGGGGAGATACACCTACTTCACTAGTGGTGGACCAAGGCATGGTGGGTTTTCCTTCAGGCATGATGAATGGAAAAATATGGGTGGACATGGAAGTTCAAAATCATTCTAATTTTCTTTGGAGGCCAAGGTGGTCAGGGTGGTCAGGGCTTGTTTGGTTTCAATTTAGATGATATTTTCTCAAACTTCTTTGGGGGTGGTATGAGAGGTGGGGGTCAGTCTGGAAGTTTCAGTAGTTCAACCAGGTCTCAATCTGGTTCTAAGAATTCCCCTAAGAGCACTCGTGCTGTAAATTCACAGTTGTACAAGAATATATGATAAAGGAATGACTTGGCTTTTATTATTATATATGTTGAAGGGGACTCAAAATTATGAATCTATTATTGAAGAGGTAGCTAATCTAGAAAGCACAGATACGGATACGAGGTACGGATACGATACGATATGGTACAGCGATACAGCAAAACCTAAAAAAGTAGGATACGGGTACGGTTAGGATACATTTGCAAATAATAAAAAATAAATAATTATTAACAGTGAGTTACACATAAGCTCAAGAATGTTGAAAAACCACAATAACGTTATGGTGCAAATTACTAATATTTAAGAATTAGGTATTAATTTAAGGCAGTAGCTAGAAGATTTAGCTTGACTCTCTCTTTCCTCCTCTTCTTCCCCTTTCTCACGAATTCTCTCTCTCTCTCCTTTCCAGATTTTTTTCTTCTCTTTTGTTTTTGAGTCAAAGAGTCAATAAAGGCCCTTATACTTATCTATATATCATTTATAAACAATTGTGCCAAACTTTGAGCCAAACATGGCCTAACGAATCAGACGAAATTCAGTTCTCAATTTATTTTTCCAAATGGCTCTAAAAATTCCCGGTATCATATAGGCGTGCTCAATTTCGTTTTCTGAACCCATTACGGTCATCAATTTCAGTCCCGAAGTCGTAATCTCAACAGGTATTTTCTAAGTTCAACAGATAATCTTCAATTAAATCATACTAACACATAATTAATTACTGGTAATCATCGTATACGGTTCTTGGTCGTTACATAGCTAATCTAGAAAGCACGGATACGGATACGAGGTACGGATACGATACGATATGGTACAGCGATACAGCAAAACCTAAAAAAGTAGGATACGGGTACGGTTAGGATACATTTGCAAATAATAAAAAATAAATAATTATTAACAGTGAGTTACACATAAGCTCAAGAATGTTGAAAAACCACAATAACGTTATGGTGCAAATTACTAATATTTAAGAATTAGGTATTAATTTAAGGCAGTAGCGAGTTTAGTTTTTAAATTTTCAATAGGTCTTGCAAATATTTCATTTCAATATCAAGTCTAATATGTTGATATTATAATATCAAAACAATCCACAACTTGCCCCTATGTTTTTTCCTTTTGCACGAGTCAAAAATATTCTATTCAAGTTTATTTGCTTATTTATTTATTGATATCCAATTTTACTATTGTTATATTATCTTATTAATCCTTACTTCTATGTAGTTATAAGGGACATGCATGATACAATGAAGATATGTCAATTTGATGAATTCTATTAGCTTACTATGTTATTTTTATAAAAAAAACTAAGCAAAGTATTGTAAAAATGTTCTATTTATCCTCGCAATTATATTATATTATGATGTTATGCAAGAAATGATACAATTCTAATTTAGTAAAAGGAGTAATATGTGACTTGGAGCATTTGATATTTCAAAAGTATCCGATAATATGTGACTTGGAGCATCAGATACTTCAAAACTAAGTATCAGATACTTCAAAATTAATGAAAAATTAATTAAGAAGTATCTGATACTTTTAATAAGTATCTGATACGTATACGTAAGTATCCAAAAAGTATTGGTATCCGATACGGATATGTCTTCCTATTTAAAATATCCGTGCTTCATAGTAGCTAATTCATTGCAAAGAGCTTTAAAGGTATGGTGTATCTCTTGTGTGTTCTTTTCCATTAGGTATCTTCTGATTAAACATATATTAATTGTTATGTCATCTTTTAGGTTGGAAGCGTAAACTGTGAAACCGAGTTGTCTTTCTGCAAGGACCTGGGTGTATAACCTTGCAGAGCACCTAGGGTTTTGTTTATTCATACAGAGCAAATGACAGTGGTTCCTTGGTAGAGTATGTTGGGGATCAACTGTGAAAAATTTGAAAACATTTTGCCAAGAATATCTACCAAGGTTTCAAAACGTATCAACTCGAGTCATTTTTAGTTATTGTCTGGCATTGGGGAAACATTACCTAAAGTGATGTTTCTCTCAACAAAGAAAGATATACCTGTTATTTGGCATGTTCTTAGTGGCTTGCATCACAAACGTTTTTCTTTTTACGATCTCATTGGTCTATTGTTTTTATTTGGCATGGCATTGCATTGCAATGCACTTGTCTTGTTCATTTATTTATTTATTCTTAAAAGGAATGTGAGTCATATGCTTTTAATATTGGAAATTTGTCATTGTATTATTATGCTCTCTAATGACGATGAAACTCAACTTGGAATAATTGATTTGTCCAAGATCATTTTCATTCTGAAGTAAATTAGAATCTTCCCTTCTTTCTATAATTTGTGCGAAATGGTTTATTGATTACTATTTTCACATGTATGTAGGTTTATGATATTTCAGATCCAACAGTGAGGAGATTGGGAGTTGATGTGCTTCCTGCTGTTGTTGGTTGGTTGTCAAATGAGGATACACTTATTTTAAAAATAGGGATTTCTCTTAAATACATAAACTTTGTAGTTCAAGATCTTAGTGGTTTACTTGAATTTTTTGAGAAAAAGAATCAAAAGGCAGCTTCAAGTCAGGCTAAAAAAGAGCAAAGTGAATCAGGGGATAAACGGATTTCCCTACTTATTGGGACTAATGTTGATGCTCTTTGTGGAGAGACCAATCCTATTTGCATCATTGGTGTTTTCAGATCATCCAGAGCAAGAGATAAGTTGGAAACAATTTTATCATCGGTTAGTAAAACTTTTACTAATTTAAAATAAAGTTGTTTTAATGAAATGCCTTAATAGCCATCAAGTTTGTTCTGAGTCTGCTGATTATGATAGTCATTATGAAATATAAGCATTTAGTGAATGTTCTTGAATTGGATACCACATTTATCCTTTTTAGATTATTAGTATGTGTGAAAAGTGGAAGCCTTTTTTTGTGGAGGCTGCCTGGTGGATGGCTTATCTCTCTTTCTTTATCCTACTCTCCATTTATTATTGTTTCTCCCTCTCTCGCCTCTCTTATCAGTGCATTCAGGTCTCTCTTCCACTCTCTTAGTAGCATACCTCTCTCTCTTTCTCTCTACACTAGCTAATAAGAATGTTCAAAATACGAGGCTTGCCTCTACAACTTGAATGAATTACTGTTTATTACAAATATATATATATATATATGTTGTTCAAGGGGTGGAAACTGTTGGGACTGTGAGACACTAGAAATCAATCAAACACAATAACACAAGAATATTTACGTGGTTCGGCAATTGCCTACGTCCACGGAGAG